CTTGTTCACCTTGCTAGCAATCTAAAGATAGGTCAACGATTTTCAATTTTGTTTTATCGGAAATACTTGAAAAATGTTTGTTCAATTAGAAAAAGCTCGATATATCAATCAAAAGAGAAGAGAGTGCATTTAGAGGAAAAACAAAAATCATTGAAAGAAATTACATGAAGTCAAAGTTGTCGTGAAATAATCTAATATTTGTCACATTTTAATGTATTAAGAAAAAAATATTCCCATTATTTATATTATTTAATGAATGGATAATATAATTACACATTAACAGTACAAAAAGCTTTAACGAATTAAGGAAAAATATCCTCTTTATCCTATACTAAGTCAGATTGTCATAAAAACTAGTTTTCATGATTATAAAAGTTCAATCTCTTTTTATAAAGCCGCGAAATACAATTGTCTAAGGCAAGTTAAGTACAATAGAATACATAATAGAGAGTATTTATATCCTAATAATGAATACTTTTGTATAAGCCGTTATACATTAAATGTAAGCATATTTATATCCGACGTACAAATATACAGATAAAGTTAGTTATTTACATATGTAAGCATTTGTGAATATGTGACGGCAATTCAAAACCGTAGTCCAAGCCGAATACTTAACGTTTAAAAGCGGTACTCACACAAGAACTTTATCCATTATCGCAGAATATTACCTTAAAGTTGAATGCTGGTGTGTTTTGCTCGAGCGCAGTTCGAAAGAACAGCAAATGGTTTTAATGTTTACGACAATATGAGTACATAGCAGGAATAAAAGAGGTTTCCGACAAATTCTTGCGTTGGGTGTTGCACTTTACCCTCACGAGGGCGCTTGACAATGCATCTAAAACTCACAAACTCGTCTATGTGTGCATGTGTGTCTGCAAACGAACAACGCTGGCATCAATACGGTTATCTCCTGTAGAAACATATAATCATGTATGCACATAGATATCAACGTCGACCTGCGTACGTGCTGTTGTGTGCCTCGTATTCACTTCTATCTGCAGTCGTAGGCTCCATCGAATGGGCAGCCCCTCCTGGGCTCCCTAAGCATTCCAATGCATGAGCCTGGAATGTGCAATTTAATGTTTGAAAATGAGTTTTGTGCGCGCGTGAGTTTAATACGCAGCCATGTAAGACTACTGTCACGCTCGAGTGATTTGACAAAGGATCAAGATGTTAATTTATATGAAAATGCTACTGACAGTGCAAAGACCTTATTGTCGTAAAAAAGAGTCCCAATATTAGGTCCACAATAAAGAACTTTCCATAAAAATTGAAACTGGCTACTAAGGCTTGTAACGGAAGATGATATACATATGTACATACGTACTGTTTTTTCTTTACTGTTGTCAATGATCTAGGYTTTAGCTCCTTTTCTTTTCAATTAATATGTCTAACGTTGGGATGAAGTTGTTTTCTTTTAAATGTATGGTAATACCGTTGTATTCGAGTTTTCTTTCCTTTATCAGGAACCGTCAGGAATATGGGGTTGGCTGCGGTTCTATCTCAGATCCAAAAGCTGGACTATGCTAGAAATTAACTTCTAATTGGTTACTACATAGTTAGAGCAAAAAATAAAACATTGCGCAGTTTTCTTGACTTTTCTAAACAACGGTATTTCCCAAATCTCATTCTCATTAACATTATTGTACTACTCATCAAAAATGGCGTCCGCGAAGTTATGTAYTGCAAGACCTATTTTGCAGGCTACACAGAATAAAATTTCATAAATATGAATATTTCTATGCAAAGTAAATAATTTTGGAATCATAAGAAAAATCTATTCGGTCTCAATTTGACATTATGAATGCAAGTGCATATGGTACATAGGTTAAATAGTTGTTTATATGCTAAAGACACAACCTTATATAGTTGAAACATTAAAGGAAAGAAATTATTATGTTATTTCACTCATATAAATAAGTTTTGTTTTTTATTTATCTAAATTCCCTAATGTCTGCTCCTTCACGTACGGACACAAAGTGCCACAATTTCCTGGACGATTACAAGCCGCAGACGAGCGCTTTCCGTTTTACCTTWTCCGACGCGGTAAGCAGTTTCGAGCAGGAGAATAATTTTGTCGCTACTCGTTTCAGAACTTATGAACTGGCAGCTGAAGCGATTAGCAACAAAATCATAGAGTTGGCGACTGTGAGTCTTTCTGCAGGTATTTGAGTCTTTTATACAATGTAAGCAGCCTGGGGCTCCAGTCTGCCATACTGGAAAATGGCAGGAAATGTCACATTTAGCACGGTGATGAATTTCCTGCTGTCAACGACGGTTTCCAGCCACTATAATTGCCTACCAGCGCCGGATGGTTGGCTGCTGATAACAGTTGCCGCAGAACTTCACCACCAACTCAATTAAACTCGGAACATTCATACACAAGCCGTTGACATCCAAAGCGTTTGCGAAAGACGACGATGCTGACACGATAATTCTTGTGCCATCAGCCGAACATCTTGCACTTTTACTTAGTTTTACGCAGGCGGAAAAGATGATGCTTGTTCTACAAATATCACCGTAATTCATGTTGTTGCGCGGTGCCACGATTTTGCAGTACTGCCCATACCTATTTGGTTATCTCACATAGGCTTCGCGCTGATAGGCATTTGTTGATTGTCGTTAAATTCTTGTACATCMAAATGCTCATTGAGCAAGCTGACGATGGTCAAACAAATATTACATAGCTGTCCGCATTACAAAGAAGTAAGTGCTCAACCAACTTAATGCCAACTTACCATATACATATGTACATATTTATTTTATATGTAGCATAAAACGTCCCCATCCATGAGGACGGAATACAGAAAAAAGACAAACTTATTTGGGAACAAGAGGCGTTAACAACGAGAGAAATATTTATGGTTTTGTTCCATGAAGTAATTTGCAGCTGATTTCCAAATTCGTACGAAGGAATGTCGATGAATATGAAATAAGTAATTGACTAACTCAATAAAAATATACTGTACATAAATTGAACAGTGTTTGATTAAATTATTGAGAGCACTTCCACTGACTAATCATACCACGAAAAAAGTGTCTTATTCGCGCCCACTGTAGGTACAAATTAAAAAATTTTCTGGTCAGTCCATAGGTTTTTATATTTTGAAAATCTTTTCATTATCATATGGTTGTACATATGTATATGATTACGAATGTACATATGTGTATGTTATATTTATATATAGGGCAAATTTACTGTATGTATGTAAGCAAATACATATGCGAAATTTCTTATTGCTCACTTAGTTTCATTACTTATTGTAGCATTGGCAATTATTGTACACTAATTTGTAATCTTTTGTTCGCTTTCATTGCGCTTACCGTTGACAATTGCAACTTTTGTGTCGCGAAAGTCGGCCGACATAGCTTTACAACGAGTCAGTGAGCCTGGAAAGGAAGCAAACTAAATGGAGCTGCGAAACTATTAATATACTACAGATGTATACCATGTGAAAGAAAGCAATTCATAGGAGGCTTTCGGTAGATGGAAAGTCTGTTTGATAAAATAGAAGAAATAGCCTGCTTAACTACTTAATGTTAATAATTCTTAGTTAGACCTTTTCCTTTCGATGTGCTACTAGAGATCGTACGAAATTAGATAGATTTTTAAAACATGCTCGCAGATTGTCAAGAGTAACATTTGCTCCCTCCCCTTCCTGCATTGCGCCTTTCTACCACTTGTGTAAATAGGTAGTTTTTACTTCACAAAATATTTCAATCACTAAGCATATAAGTACATACATATATACGTATGAATATGTGTATATTTCAAATATGTATATGCAAGTGTACATTTTTTGTTACATTCTGAGTATGTATGTATATAATAATTCTTATCCTTAGTTATACTTAAAGCTAAGCAAACATATTACAGTAGTTATTGTTTTATGTCAAAGTTTGTTGTAAGACTTCGATCGACTCCTATATTTTTGGTTAATCGTCATAAATGTATTTTGATCTCATGGCTTATTTTATCTGATTATTTCAACTTTTATAACAAATCGGTTTATCAACTAAACTTTTTTATTTTTCTCTTAGGACACACATGAATCACAATATTAAATCTTAATTACTCTCATTTCTGCACTGAGCAAGCATTTGACTTTTGACCATTACATCATTTTTCATTCCACATAATTTACGGTAATACGCCAAGTATTCGATTTACAGATAGACATTTCTCCGCTTTGTTTGCAAGTATTGCAATTATCCACCTGGCTCATCCTAGTTGCCGTAATCGTCGMTGAAGGTGTCGATAATGTACCGTTTTACCTCGTTTATTGATGTACGTTTGTTGGAGCATTGATGTCGTTCCTGGTTATCGGGCAACACCAATAATTGCTGCAGCTCGCCCTTTTATTTATTGTAATTTATTTGATTTGTGTAATGTTTTAAAATAAAAAGAGAATAAGAAAAATAGTAATTTATTTATTTTTTAATTGTAATTCTAATGATTAAATGGCTTTCAGTAATAATTATCCAAATAATTTCATATGCAAACCTCAATGAATTTTATTCTGATTTGTTTAATTTCGCTTTCTTGTCTATTATAATTGAATTTGAAACAAATTTTTGGCACTGATAGGGCTTATACATTTTCCACTAGAGTGGGGACTTGGAAAGATTTTCGGATATTTGTATGTATCATTTTATAAGGATACATTTTAAAAATCCTTAAATATGCCACTAAACAAAGCCCTACCAAATTATTTGTCAAGGTCTCACCTTAGCACTCAATAAAGATAATGCATTATAAATATTACTCTTGTTATGTGTTAATTAAACGATAATTTTTCATAAAGGAAGATTTACTTGTAATATATTAATAACATAAACTTAAACATGACTGATTGAAACTTTTGGCCAAAATAGAGTAATGAATTTCTTATACAAAACCATAAAAATACTCTTGAGTGGCATTTTCGCCCCATTTGTGTGGCGGAATGCGTCCCAAAACTCACATTAAAGCCTCGTCCAATTTCCACATCGGCATCCAGTGGCAGCGTGTACAGGCGYTTCGACACAACAAAACTGTTTGTCCAGGAGCAATCGGCATAAATGGAAATGAAATCGCCATTTTGTATACTGCCGTTTAGTCCGTGGCAAGTGCGGGAAGGATGTACGCATGCAATAATAAAGCGAAAGAGATAATTGTAATTTAAAGTCGAACAAAAATCGTATGAAAGGACTGAAGAGTTATGCATATGTATTTGTGCTTATAAGGGTGCTAAATACTTGCATTGCAATACAAAAGGTCAATTTGTGCAAAAGTTAGACGCAGGAAAACAATCCTTACAACAGAGAAATAAAAACAAAATATTTGCCGCGTTTATCCACGTTTATAAGGTATAAAGCGGCGCGAGGCACTCTTAACTCTGTAACAATTTATACAATTTCAATAAGCATTTGGTATGTCGAACTGTTCAATGTTTTTGTGTGCTGACGACTGATCGACTGATGCATTGTTTATTTATATAATGCTTAAGAATCATGAGGTATGAATTTGCTACATCTGATTTGGGTATAGTAAAAGAAAAGGCCCCCTACCTTCATTTATATTCGAATACGTAAACGCTATTTCTATGAACGCAATGAGTGAGGGTAAGAAATAATATGATGAATTTTGTAAAACAGATAGACGATGGCCACATTGCCATTATACATATGACATTAGGTATAGCATTATACATACATATCTATGTTTGCTAAAAACCCATAAATATTTTTCTAAAGCTTAGATAACGTCCTTAATTGTTATGAATCAATATTTTGAATTCAGTCATGTTCGGTGTTAAGCCCAATCTTCCTCACACAATACTGTCATTGGAATAAAAACAAAATYCCTGTTAGGTATTTATAGAGTATCCATATATAGGTATGTATACATAACTCACCTGATGGCCACTTGATGCCAACGAAAATCGTATAAATTAAATTTCACTGGCAGCATTTCAGTGGTGCCGTCTCGCTCTAGATACAATCGCAGACCGTCCTTGCACGATTCCAAATACATATTGTGGGTGGCGTTGCGTATGGAGAAAATTGTCGTTGCGGCTTTACTGTCATTCTGTGTGGAGCGTGTTGAAAGAAACGCATGTGTATATATAATATAAACGCTACATTTGGAAAGTTGTAACGGTGTGAAATGGTGAAAAATATTTGCATGTGTGCATAAAAAAAAACTACGTTTTATCATAAGAATAATATTTTCAGGAAATCAACAGAAATAATAAACAATCAGCAGAAAGAGTCGAAGCAATGCACTTATTTGTATGAATGTGTTTGTGACAGGTGATGACGTCGTTGGGTTTTTATACGTGGCCTTTGCGTTCCTTTTTGTTGGCTGCTTAAGAGGTCTTTATATCACATAAAAAGCCAACGAATATATTTTTCTTCGCTTAATGCTCTCTTACCATAACTTTGACTCAAAYTTAAAATTACTTTGCCCTTTATAAGGTATTTATATTAAAATTGATATTGACAAATTATTTTTGTGAATGATATCCAACATTTTTTGGCACCGGCTTACAATAGGCGCTAAGATATGTATGTATGTTGTACCAATTTAAAAGGGCTCGTGAATGCGTTCATATATTTTAATGTAATCCCCTTTTAAAACAATGAATCAAGCAAATAAATGTTAATACTTACTCGAACTCGCAAGGTTAGCATTATCGTAAAGTTCAGCGGATTCCGCCAACTACGTATGTAGCCCATATTTGCTGGCGTCGTCGAAGGTGCACTGTTGCCAATAGTTAAGGTGCTGCCAACRGCATTTGCATTTGTCGCRCCGCTGCCAGAAGCTSTGATATCAGTGTCATCAGAGCCATCTCTGTTGTTAGTAGCTGATGTGGTGCCTGTTGTAGCCACATTGCCAAGCGAGTTAACTGTCACGGATGCTGAGTCCACCGCCGTAGCTGTTGATGTGGTGTGCCCATCAACCGTCCCGGTAGGCGACTGCAATGAAACTGTAGCCGGGCTTGCAGTATCCTCCGACATAGGGACCTTTTTATAAAACTTTAATAAGTCATTTATGTCATCTAGAATAAGCAAAAACAAAGATTTGTTAAACATTTTACTAGTTGGWGTGAAAGTAAACAAAAATATAATGGAAAGCAGAATTAGAAACAGAAATCAAACCGATATCGATAATAGAGATATATATGTGCCATATATCACAACTACAGMAGGACAATAGTACAAGTACATATGTACATGCTGATTGAGTCCAGATATTGAAAATGCTGAAACTATAACCACTATATAAAGTAATGAAGGAAAGTGCATGGAAGATACTAACTATGAAGACACAATAAGAGTACTGTTAAACGTTACTCTGATAACAATCAGAGTTCGAAAGGACATTCTGTTAACTGTATATTTTCGTTTCAACTCAGTGTTGTATTAGAATGACCTCTTTGAAAATTTCCGAAATCTGGGTCTAGAATCAGCTGCAGATCAGTCCCGCTACGCAGTGGTGTGAGGCACTTCCAATACATTGTTGAGTATACTTTTTCACTTACCGCTGCAATCGAAAGTGTTGCAATTTCGCTGTTCTATGTTGTAACCTTCACAAAACATAGTGGAATAGTTTTTCATCGGCCTTCGGCGTTTATTCTGACGTTCCGTTTTATTCTTCGCTTGCATTTCAATTGCAGTTTTTTGGTTCACTTCATCCTTGGTTAACTTATTTGCAAATTTGTCATTTACTTTCAGGTGGTTATTGTTGAGAAAACTGGCTTCATTTACTCGGAGATAAGTTTCGAACTGTTGCACCAATACTTCGGTATTGTCTTTGTTTCTGCCTCTAGAAGAATCTACCTGGCCAATCTTATTGGTTGTAGATGTTCTTCCGTCGTATGGTACTGACGGTGTAATGGCGCGTACAGTCAGTCTCTTTWGCAAATTAGCTTCGGACACTACATTAATATCGTGATCTGATTGCACTTTTGATGTCACAATTTCTGCGACTTTAGCAATCTCTGGAGTAGTTTCAAACTCAGCGGAAACTTTCAGGGTTGTTTGCCGTTTACGCAGCTGTAGATTGTCGCTGTCATTTGTGTCCATCATTGCCACAGTTTCAAATTCTGCGCTGTTGAAGCCTCCTAATGTATTGTCTAGCGATTCGGTATTTTCAACGCCTGCACTGCTCAGCYCGTCCACCTCAGCGTCAACAGCCGCGTTCAAGTTTAGGTGCATGTTGAAATTCACCATCGGATTATCKAGCAGACAACGGCGAAACCGTTGTTGTACACCTTTTCCGCATGTAACGCTGCAAAGCGTAAAATCACTCCAATCATCCCAGCCTGTGGTAAACTCACAAGTCCGAGCCCAGTCCGTTTTTCAGCGGTCGGTGGTTTAAACATGTCACAAAATTTCAAGTTGTTGTATTCGTTGTCAGGCGCCATTATATTATCAGTATGAATGTATGCATTCGTTGTTGTTTTTGAAATTTCAGGTGACAGGGGTACGTTTTTGAGCATTGCAGTGGAGGCATGTTGCAATATGGTGCCATAAATTACGTGTACCGTGTAAAACGGTTATGGTTGCAGGAACAGCAGGCAGAAGGGCAGGTAGTATGTCGTTCATGAAATGTTCGTTCATCATGAGGAGCGCAATCGTCACAATTGTGCCGAATGTGTTGGTTKTTTAGGTGGTAATGCGTGTGGTTTCGAGAGTGGTCCAAAATCATCATAACAGTCGCCATCATCGTGTACGAAACATGAAATGAAAATAAGTGAGTGAGTTGTTTGTATTTTAAATTTTATTTTTATGTTATATTCGAGGTGCAGGCATTTAAAAAAGTTTAGTTTTTCCTAAAGCTTATTAATGCGAAGTCCACAAAACAAAATTAGTACAATGAGTTTTATAAGTGTTGTTTTTCATCTTCAGCATATCAATTATTAGATTTAAGGTAAATATGGAAGTTCCCATAACCATGTTCTTGAGAACTWGTTCGCTCGAGGTTATCTAGACAAAGTTCGCCGTCTTTAAATGCTTTTTTCTCGACACTGTGCTTTCGAAGTCGGTTGGCAAGATTCCTCGAGAACTATTAAACTCATCTTCATGAAATTTGATACAGTATAAAAAGTATAAGTTTATAAAATGTCTGYCAAAAATCCAATTTCCATTTTTTTTTTCTTCGTTTAATTTCTAAGTTAAGGCTTTAACTAAAAAACGTATTTTTCACTTTAGATGATCCTGTAAGGAGTTATCCTGYCAACGCGGGCACATCCTTTTATCGAGGGGTCACCGAAAAAGGCGTCGCAATAGTCGAGTTTAACATATTTTTTTCCAAAAATTTCGAATTATAATACTTTGTTAATACTGTATGTTTGTAACAATAAAATATTTCATTTTATATGAAAAAAAATTRTTGTAAAAGTGCTATTTTTTATCCGAGGAAGCCCATGTAACCCCATACCTACATCAGTTACCCATATACAGCTACTTTAAATACTGTCTGTGTACTGTGAGATTTAATTTAAGTTCAAACTTCAATAGAGGGGTCGAAAAAATATGGTGCAACTACTACTATGTCTTCTGATAATGATTGAAATTACCCTAAATGTTCCTTTAACCCTCATAAGTCGGATATGTGGTTCTTGTCAGGTTGTCTTTTTAACGTATTCATATGTTGAAATTGGATATATGTTAGAAATTTAATAGTAGTAGTAGTAAAATAGTGTTTTATAATAAATATTTCGATGCCATCAAGCTACCTTTAGGATAGTGATATTACATCTCATAAGGAAATCTATTAACGTGTTTGTTTGTTGGCAGTGATTTTAGTTTTTTTAATTTAAGTTGTTAATTTTTAACTAACCCCATTTACAGTTACTTACTTACGAGTGTACACTACAAAACATTAAAAGCTGCCTTTAAAAATGGTGCTTCCAAACCCCTAGCAAAGTATTTTCCATGAAATTTGCATTTCTGGATATCAAGCTTTGAATTTTTCTGCAAATTCAGCCACTTTAAATTCTGGCGTTTTTATCTGTTTTYTGCTGTTTCCGTCATACGCATGAGAATCGTTGCCAATAAATGGAACATTCGTATTATTCCTATCATGAAATGTTGACAGTTCAAGTACAAGGGATGTCGGGAAGGTATACATACATATGTGAATGTGAATATAAAATCGATAGCGAATTGACTCTAAAAACCACAGGTTTGCTTGCAGATGTTCCGCTATTTGGTTATATATAATTGCATAAAAATTCACTCTCCATAATACTTGTGTGTATGCATATGTGCATAGCACGAATCCTAATCACCKCGGGAGTGGTGATGCGATTACTAATACGTGCTTGACCTGATGGGATCAGAAATGTCTGGCATACGTCAGATTAATTCCACTTGAAATCTCTATGAACCAAAAGTAAGCGGGTTTAAGGACGTATCAATACAAAGCATTCAAGCAGGATGTTTACAATGTTAGGTAATTTTGAATCACATAAAATATAATGGCTATGTTTTTATTTTTATGTTCGAAAGCGTTCACATATACAGTATATAGGAACTATGAAATCTATATTTGAATAGGATCTGAACTGATTTGGCAAGTACATCGATTTCAGTTAAAATATATAGGATGGAATAGGCATATAATTCATTAAATGTTATTCAGCCCGCATATTGTGTACCATATCCCATGTGTGAGAATATAATATAATGAGTAATTTAGTTATTTTCTTTCACACTCACCCAAATGTTTCCAGATGTGATTCTCAAATTGTGGACTCCAACGATGCAAACCATTTATGCTTATGGACAAAAAGTCAGTTTCTGGAGCTGTATTAAATTCGCTTGGTAATTGTTGTTGCTGCTGTGCAGTTCTCAATTTGCCAAAAACAATTAATTCAGTGGGTAGACTTTTCAAAAGGTTTCCATCGAAGCAGGACAAAGGCTTGATTGTTGCATTTAGCTGCCTGTTGGTTTTAACGTTTCGTTATTTTTTGATATTATTGCTTTCAGTTTGAGCGCGAAATAAGGTGAAATAGCAATGGTATAGTAAAAGTAACATTACTAGCTTATTTTTAACAACTTTCAAACATGAGTTAGTAGCAAACAGTTTTGTCGTATTTCATTTCCATTACCAACTCCATTTAAACATCTGGCAGGTATAAATAATTTCTGGCTTTAGGATTTCATTTCATTCGAACGGAAATACAAACAGGTAAATTCCTTAAAGCCGTCATTAAGTACGAATGTGCATTGTCACATACACTTCAGATTTTGCACGTTTTTTTATTGGTGGCATAGATATTAAATGTGGTTATAATTGAGAAATGTTTCAAGTTGCCACCGCCTATGTATAAATACATATGTGAAACTGCAATGCCATTATTTCCCTACATCAGAACACAACCATTGTGAAGGGTTCATTTTGAGTATAAGAAATTGGCTATTGGAGTGCGGTTCAATGATATATTTTACAAAGTTTTGATTTCGGAAAGAAAGTATGATTAAATAAAAACTTCTGGAATGGCGATTACTCATGTCAAAGTGATTAGGTATGGAACGGGCAAAGAGCGACGATAACAATGCGTGCCTACTGGCGGTATTTGTTTGGCCAAATTCGTGCATAAGAGTGATTTTTAATTGCACTTGTTATTTCTAGTACAAAAAAGCACTCGTATAGGGCGCGTGCTCAACTCGGCGCCACTCATAGCAACAAGAGTTTGTAAGTTGTTTACCCCTTTTTGAATTAAATTGTCACTTTTCCACACCGCTTACACACGCGTTAACAAGCAAGCGACTTGCTTTGTCAGCAATCATAGCAGTTGCCACCGTGCAGAGGGGCAGTCGTGTTCAMAGGCGTCGCTTACGTATTCGTCAACATATTTGGTTCAACTTACCCTTCATACTGATATGCAGACTCGGCTGTTGCGCTGCTGCCACATCCAGGGTTATAGCCACTACGGCCTATGCCACTTTCATCTCCTCTACCGTTGTTACCTCCGCCACCGCTTCCGCCACGTGCTGCATTCTCCGCTCCGGGTGTCATTTTCAAAAGTGACGCGCCTTTGTATATCGTTTCCGGTGTTAAAGTTATTAAAATGGCCCCGTCCAGCTTTTTGGCCCAGTCCGCTGTAGCCGCTTCTGTAGTGGCTGTCGCTCCAGTAATGGAGATGCCCGATGGCCGTTGCTGGGTTGTTGCTGCGACGGACGTTGGACTGCCAATGGTTGTGTGAAATGTTGCTGATGCGAACAAATTATTTTGCRAATTCTGTTTTTTCACTTCGCCATTGACAGCGCTACCTCCATCTGCAGCAGCGCCCAATTTCGCTGCATTTAGTAATTCATTGGTGGTGGTGTCGTCTGTGAAGATATGTGCGCCAAGAGCTTTCAGTATGACCGGGCTCTTTTTGATCAACTCGGAGATGCTATCGTGGACACAGGGGGCAGAGTCGAGTCCACCTTTCACTGAAATAGGTGTYGAGTGAATGCTGGATACGAGCAGAGAGGAACAAAGCAMAACGTACGCGACAACCACGGGCCACGACTGCGTGTTGGTGCTCATTTCTATCGCTTTTCTTAGAACAGCCCACTCCTTTGGTATGTTTAGTGTTTTCTGGAGTTTTCTTTGCACTTTATGTAATGTTGTTCTTCGCCTGTGCTTATGTTTTCCGTYTGTTTGTTGAGGATATGATTTTGAGGCTACCAAGATTTGCTCCTCAAGTGCTCAGTAAAGTGTTGCTGCCATATTTTTAGCCACGAGCAACAATTTCACTTCACAGGCGCCTTAAAAGAAAGAGGATATGCTCAAGTTAGCGAAAAACGTTGTGGTTATTCGTTGTASTTATTGTAAAATATACTGTTTTTATGATTTTATTCAGTGCGCTCTAAACGTCAGCAAACTTATCCGATTTCTTGTTTATTCTGTTTAGGCCAAAAGTCACGTTTTTATTATCTTTGCAATTCATTTTTGAACTGAATTTGAAGTATTCTTCAAATCTTCTTACACTGGCTTTTAAGAGGTTCAACAAAACAAATGTATAGAATTCAGTTGTCCAGCAAGTAGACAAAATATATTTAAAATGTGTAAATCGAGGGATTTTTAGTTGTATACCATAATATAACAAAAGACTAAATGATTTTGGCATTAAGCTTGATATGGTACAATTGCGCTGAAGAAGACCAATTTTGTATAATTGGATAGTTATACATATTTATCTATTGAGTTGTCTGTTGAGACGCATGCATTTTCCAAGCTTAATCCACTTTCCATGAAAATTGTCCGCCACATTTGCTACCTAAACACTTCTATACGTGGGAAGTGAAAATGTTGTTTTTTTTTGTTTTTTTCATTTTTGAGTGTTTTATGCTTTGTTACGTTGTCTTTTAATTCAACGCAAAAGAGTACTGAAATCGAATCTTAACCTGTACAAAAAACACTCCTCTGCATCTTCTTACTTTATACGTATTTTGTTATTGGCCAACAAATTCATGCATGTAGACACACATTTAAAACCAATTTCAAAATAAGAACAATGAAAACATAAAAAAGTATTGCAAAGTGAAATCTCCAACTGAAGCCATTGCGCTCGATGGTTGTGACTTCTGACTTCTTAAAGAACTGCAGTTAAGCACTCAGACTATAAAAATAAATAAAAGTATATGGTAAATAAGCACAGGCAGCCAGCTACTCTGCGCTGGAAATTGTAGCAGTAATAAAAGTGCACACGAAATGGTAGCAAGTGCATCATGTCGAACAAGCTTGAAGTGCAGAACTGAACGTGGCACCAGGAACATCCAACAAAGAAAGATCGGAAAATTCAAAACACTTACTCAAATTTTGGCTTAATAGCGGGTGAGAGAGTATTAAAAGGCAAGTGCCACTCAAGAGTTATATAGAGTGTATAACTGCAAGCAAATAAATACAGGTAAGAAAGCGCMAAGTTCGGGTGCAACCGAACATTTTATACTTTTCCAACTAGCAAAAATCAGAGCCAGGGAAATACCTCACATACAATCACAAAATGGAATTAAGTCATCTGGATGTTCGAAAGTCCTGATATAAATTATATGATATGARTAAAACACTTCTGTAAATTYCATTGAGATAACCCGAGTATTGGCCAATATACCTCAATGACTGTAAATTTCATTTCATGCAGTATAAAGTCACCAAGACGTTCGAAAATCTTTATATTAGGTATACAGAGGCTCAAGGAAGTATTGACCCCGTTCAACACTGTTTTGATACACTGAGTTACTATTGTCAGGAAAGGACTCTCTATAAATTACAATTGTATATCCCAGACATTGCCCGATATTTTCGGTCAAAAGTCAACTATAGATATTTGGATCCACATTTTCGGTACCATTAAATTTATTAGTAGGCGGGGCTTTAGGTACAATTTAAGTTGCAGACTCACTTAGTTTCTTTACATTTATTCAGAGAGCTTTCGCAATATTAATAGTTTTCAATACCGCCGTTATATGGAGGAAGCGTGGTTATTATCTGATTTTACACATTTTCATGGTATATGAAGAAGTGAAGACTGAAGTATAACTTCAGTGGGTTGGAAGATACGCACATTAAACCATTTACGTCAGGGCTATGCCCACGTTTAATGTATCCTGTACTAAATTGCAGAACAAAACTATTACTGTTATTCTGTTGCAACATGTTGCGGGAGTATACAAATACTTGTAATTATACATACAGAAGTATGTACACACTTATGCACAAAAGTGCGCTTACCCTGAGGACCATTCGACACCGAAAATATGACAAACAATCCTACAACCAAATGAAATAATGGAAAAAAAAATTACAATGGACAATGTTCAGAATTGATTTATTCCCGCAGAGCTCTTTGCCACAACAGCCAGGCCCACAATCAGCCAAAGGCGCATAAAAGAGCTCGTCAAATGGAGTGACAGCAGAAGAGATTCACGCTGCATTGCCATTTTTTTCCACAAGCACGGAGGCACAAACCTTCAGTGGCACTACCAGTAATAATACAAGTATATAGACTACAACAACGAAAGTAATGACAACCGCCAATTGACCATCACTTTCATGATTCACATTCACAACGAAATCAATGCATATTTAAGAAATGTTACATACCAGATCGGAAAAATAACATTTTGTGCACTACCTGACCCTTTTATATTAACGTAAAATAACCAACAACAAAATAAAATCTTTAAGCTTCCAAAGTCTCGAATCGGTCAGACTACGTCAAATTTTCATTTTTATTTTCAACGCTGTAAGCTACCAAGAAAGGCTAACGCAGCATGGCGAAGATGAAACCCATTATTTCTTATCTAGTGTGATTTTGCAACTATTTTACATCCGGCAACTGAAACACCTAGTGCAACCAACTGCAAAAGGATATTATCAGCAACTGCCATARGTATGTAACCCTATGCCTGGGTTTATTTTTCAGGACACGTTGTGCCTTTCAAAGAGTCTGCACTTCATTAAAAGAATGCATTAACACAGATTCTGCTTTAAATAGTCCATCCACTGAACTTTTTGTAATAACGTGAGTACCCATCTAATGACACCACAACTGGATACTGTATGGTCGATGGGTACATCAACAAATATTCGAGAACTTCTTAATGAGGCAAGCATGCAGGGAGCCGTTGAAAAGAAATCCGACATAATTGCTGTTTCCCTGAATGATCAATGTCGCCGTAAATACGTACGTATGTGCTATATACGAGTAAACTTACGTGTAGGGACGTGAGTGTGTCACGTGGGTGGAGTGAGGCCTCGGATTAAACTAGCAAATGGCGACACAAAATGAAGAACATRTCAGTTGCATCGCATTTATGTGCTAGCATCAAAAGAGCAATATACTATATGTTTATCCCTGAGACCTGATGACCTACCAACTGATTTTGCATCCAATACTTGCGCGCGTCTTGCCTTTTGGTTAAATTATCAAAATGAATAGCACTGATTCAATATATACGAATATATATAGAAATGGCACTATTAATAGAGTTCGAATATAATAATATATAGAATATATAATTTTAAGAATTGAATTTTGAAACATTGTAGTCGTCACACACACATATACATACATACATACATCTCTTTCCCGATGTTGTTATAGATCATATTATATTATATTAGACGGTTTAATAATTTGTTATAAAAAAAATAAAACTGTTTCACGGACGGAGAATGTATCTATAACAACTAAGGAAGGTACAAATTTGATGGAGAGTGAGCAATTTTCGAGCTCCTTGTACGGGTTCTTAAAGGAATTCGCTCAGCGGATGTAGTTGTTTAGGAGATATGTAAATTAAACCACTTAGCCCTTTTTAATTTTAAGCCTTCAGGTGCCCTTTGCTACTGCAATGCTCTGTGCCATATTACAGYTGTATGTTTTAATTTAGTGTTTTGCTTTGGCATTTTATAGGTTTTCAATGAATAAAGTTTTGTGGGAATGTCAGTGGCCCGATTACGCCCAACTACGAATTCGTCCTTACTTTTTACCAAGGCATGAGATGTACCGTTAGGTGAACAAATCTCTTATATTCTGCAGCAACATGTTGCAGGAGTATACAAATGCATGGATGGGGCCAAACTACAAGATTTCGCTTAGCTTAAATCTTCTGTACACATATAGATATGCACAAATATACATATCTATATATATACATACATACATATGCATAAGTAAGCGGTTTGGAGTAATTGAACTGAAATTAAGTTTTATTGTTATTGTGCTCAAGCAACCAACCAACTTCACCATCGCCCACCGTCAGTCACCAAAATGATCCTTTTTGACTTGCGCTTTATGTATTTTATTAAAYAACTTTTACAACATTTTACATAATCGCCATAACTGGCGCGGGCAAATCCCTCAAGTATGTCCCAAAAGGGTAATAGGTCCTTTAGTAGACTGCTCCGAATAAGCTGTTGTGCTACAAGTAAATTGTTGTGAGTGCAGGGTTCAATTGCCAAGGACCATAAGCACAYATTTATACTCGGTCACATGGAAGCAAGGAATTTTAGGTATAATTTGTACCCTCAGTATTTTTGGTATTTATAAGCGTCTCGTTTAGGGTGTCTGCTCACTTATATGGGAATATTTGGTTGAGTGTATCTGCTTACAATCTGTTACTTAGCTTAAAAGCTTCACATTTTTGAGAGTATCGATGCTGCTGTATGTGCCTGTGGATGTATACATACAAAAGAATAACGTTTCATTTTCGTGTCCTTGAGGAAACATATTCATTATCTCCTTGCTGAATTTGTTATTGTGCTATTGTCTCCGATAGACAGCCGCTCTGTGGTATTTTTGCGTTTATAACTGTATGTATCTCAGAAGACTTTGTGTTTGCCGATTCTTCGCACCATTTGAGCCTTTTCACTTTCTCAGAAATAATACGAAATTTATTGTGCAGATTCAAGTATATCCTCATGGGAATAATTATGATGATATAAAATTAGAAATGGATTTCATAAGTGACACGGTAAATGGTGACGGCTACAAAGTTATTTTCAGTTTAATTGGAAACAGATTTCGCACAGAAACTGCGGGTATTTGAAAGGCCTTRAGTTACCTCTTAAATTGCTAAACATCAGCGTTGTAACGATAAAGTGAGGAAAACTACAGTTATTTCTGAGACACATATGCGTTCCTGTGTTGACATGTAAATTTATGTCATTATGATAATTTCCGTACGAAGCAAACTTTTAAATTTTTAAAAACTTAGAGACTTTACCATATAGAAGTGTGCAGTTTCTAATTTTTTCTAACTACGATTAAGGTTATCTTCCCTACAATTACAGGCTCTCACTAGTGCAAGTGTAATCATTTTCTTTTGTCGCGAGACCGAAATCGTTAAAAATCTGAAGCGAGTGTTGAAATCTCAAGGTTCATCAGGATTAACTAAGGGCTGTGTCACATGTATGCGGTGTCTATATGTGTGTATGTATGCTTGTAAGAATGTTCATCTGCARGGTAACCAGCAGAGGTTACATTAATTTAAGCTTCTCCTTCCGAAGTTAAATTTATTGTGTACTAAAGCTTTTAATTTGGGATTTATTCGTTGGTATTTACATTCGTTACGAAAGCGTTTGAGAGGTGTTGTTACACATTTCTTCACTCACCTTCAGACAATAATTTCGTAAAACCTTATATGTGTGCGTTTAATTTACAGTTTGATCCTATGCCTGAATGAAAATTTAGTTAAGCAGGGCTTATACGATTGTAGCAAGTCAAAGCGTTGAAACTACTACCATTTTACATGCAGATACACTCATAAGTTATGTATGTCTTGCAAGCAGAAAGATGTGATGTCTGAAATAATGCGGATGCTTAATCAATTAAGGTAAATGCTTTATCCACAAACTTAAATTAACATTTATGAGGTTGAATGCTTTACATGTATAAGAAAATAATATGCTGAAAATTATAGTGACTTCATAGGCGCTTCTGGAAATATTATGTGGGTACCAACTAGCGCTCTTAAAATTATTCATATACCCTGAAAATCGATTATTCGAATGCTCGTATGAATATTAACCGATTAATATTGCGACTATTCGAATAGTTGCTCTGCTGCGTGTATTTGAATAAATGAAAATTGTTTGAAACCCATGCAGCCTTTGATTTTCTGCAAAGTTTCTATAAACTTATATACGTAAAATAGTTTTTAGAAGTTGAACGCTTACTATTCTAATAGTCCACAGCGAACGGTTAATCAGATAGTCGAAAATGAGCGATTAATCGAAAAGTCGTCGACTACCCGGGTACTCATAGCTAAATATTGTTATTCGAATAATGCCCTATCCGGTTAATCCGGTTAGTGACTTAGTCGAATACCAAAAGTTCTAGTACCAACGATATTGAACTAAAAGTAAAAATTATCAAGTGCTCTGACTAAAGATTCGTCAACTATCGTAACATCAACTCCAGAAAGCTAAAACTGTAATGAATTACTAATGTAAATATTATCATTAGAACGCTCGACATATGTATAATAATTTATTCCATTTATGAGTTCTCCCAAGTTGAGTTATTGGCTCTTTGCTTATTACCCTCTTTGATTTATTTGCCCGTTATTCACATTTCAAACCTTGCATTGTTTCACAATTAATATAATTAAGCAAGTTTCCAGCTTTATTTGAGAATGTACATATATGTTTTGATACCTCTCTGCTAACGATGCTAAAGAAGTGGAGCAATAGTTTTCTTTTCCTTGCTCCGAAATATTATATAAATAATAATATTCCTGCGAGAGGACAATCAAGAACCGTCGTCCATTAACGTACATGATACTTGGTTTGTGCTTTGCTCAACTAATAATAAATTACATTAGTTTCCAGAAACTTTATTACTTACTTATTTTAGTGCAACAAATAATTAATGTGACTGAAGATAAGCAGCCCGCTAAATAAATATGAGCTAATATTTCAAAGAAGAAAGCCACAGAAATTAATTAAAAGCACTTAGCGTATAACTTACGATCCATAGCGATAACGGTGGTGGGGTTAGCTGTTATTACTCCGGAAATCCTTAATCGARTCTCGTTTTGTAAGCAAATATTTAACACATTGGAATTGAAATTGGACTATCCCTTGCAGTTAGTTCAGCATATACATATATCATGTGCATATAATCGCTTGAGGGATTCACACTGTATCGTTAACAAAATAATTTTTTTTTATTCCATAGAAGAAATATTTCACATTTGATTTTGATTTATTTTTTATTTCGTTAAAACCGCTAACGACGAGCAGTTATAACTCTTTTTCATTTGCAAAGCGCAAAGTATTGCACATTATGTATGCACTTATTCATCTGACATATTCACAAATATCTGGCTCTCATGGCCTCTTTCACTGACGCACAAATTAATTGCAATTAATACACAATATATTTTGTTATTATAATTATTTATAAATAAAGTTTAATTGCCATAAGCTGCAAATGTTTGGAACGAATGAATGCTTCGTAGATTTCCGTCGCGGAGTCGCAGATAATCGTTCGACCGAAATTCAACTTTATTTGTGGTTTCTTTATTTGAAGATATATTTTCTACTCCTTTACATCCTCTATTCAATGACAATTGTTGCGTTTCACTGAGGTCTCAACTGATTAATATTTTCGCCTTACTTTTTCTGAACTTCATTTAATCGCGCCAATCAGTCAACTGAAGATTGTTCAATAGTCGTCGGAGCTTTTATAGGCGTCCTTCTAAAAGGAGAGTGCCGATTTTCCAGTGATTTCATCTCACCGTTATTCTCATTCAGTTATGCGGCTGCGCGGATAAAGTTGAATTGTTTTGTGTAGCCGGCTTTTTATCTTCTTCTTCTATTCAACACTTGACGCGAGTGTGTTGCTTGTACCGCTTTCAGTGCTGAGGTTTCAATTCCCGCCCCATTGATGATTTTGTTTACATTTTTCATAAGATTTCATTAGCATGTTGGAGCACGTGCTTCGACATATGCTCAAGTAGCTGGGTGCAGGCGCTACACTTCTAAACAATCTAGGTGAAGCACACCCACTTGCATGGCCCCTGTCGCACACCCCGGAAGTAGCATGGAGCACGTATCTTAATACAACACTTCCCTGGGCACGCGGATCCGACAACCCTTACCTGTTTAATTATGCTTCTGCCATATATCTTTTAAATGTAATCTCAKTTGGACAAAACGATTTAATGCGTGGATTTGAGAGGCGAAAATAGTTCSAAGCCAGGATGAAGCCTATAGAAACGCGCAAATGCGGTCCTGAAAGATATTAAACACAATGCTTTGAACAAATTTGTATGAGTGTACATTTTCTTGCCTTTCATTTAGCTCCTATGTATATTAGGTAGGAGACACTGGAAGAATTACCGATAGTGAGGCCACAGAGCATTATTACTTCAAAAATAAGCTATTACACATAAAGCATGTACAAATATATGTTTGCAAATATATAACTATTACGTCTATCAAAACAGTTTTATTTTGGTTTCGACATGTGTAACTCTAAAACAATTGGCCAAGCAGCCAACACCTGTTGTACTCACTACACAAAACCACATTGTCGTTGTTGTAAAACGCATATTCGAGCTCACAACAATAAATGCTTATTTATGAGTATGCTTTTGAATACAGTTAACATTTGGCAAGAGAGCAACAGCAGAAACCACCACAATGACAATAAGAACATTGCCCGCAGCAATCTTGACTAAGTTGGCTGTCAACTGCGCTGTGATTTATCGCTCTCGAGTTAAGCGTAGAAAGGTTAATTTTTAATCCCTTTTAGTGGCTTAAGGCGTCTTGAGTGGAGATTAGAGTGCAACAATGCCAACAGTAGCCGTCAGTGAATTTGAAAGCGCGAATACGCAGGACGGGCGGCAAATACGAAGGGAGGACAGTGGTTGCGTGCAAATCCCAACTGGAATAGGTGGTGGTCATTTGGCTTGCTTGAAATTAAATAGAAAATTCTATGTATGTATACGTTGTTACGTAACATACTAATAAAAAATAACTCTAWATACATGTGTCGTTTAAAATAATATCTGATAATGTTCTGGCCGTTTTTAAATATAGAGTGCCATCAGAAGAAAAGTGGTGACGACCTTATGAAAAGTAATGGTTTAAATTTACATTTACTTTAAAGCATGGAAATGAATAGTTTCATACTATAATAAACTAAGTTTCGTCTGAAGTGTTGAGTCTAAGTTCTTAATATAGATAGGTACCAAGTCGATGCAATACGATAATATCAGATAAATATGTTACATATATGAAAACATGGCAAAACTCAGTTTTGTTGTTCAATTTCATCTCTTAGGCAATAATGTGTATGCACATGTTAACATACTTACTAATGAATGTATGTTTATAACAAGAACACTAACTAACAATAACTTCATTTCATAACAACTAGCCAGAAACACCTTGTATGTACTATACAGCAATCGGTTGCCAGTTATTAACACCTTCCTTTATTTTATTTAAATGTTGAACATTTATTGAGGATTTAATACTTAAATTTAATCTGATGTTCAGTTAATATGCTTGATGTTTTTGTTTTAGTATTATTTTTGAAATAAATGTTTCTTATTATTTATTTCTTACCAATTCTAGCATAATACTACTACATTTCTGAGACATCAGCATGTTGCTTGGAGGGAAAATATCCTGTAAGCTGACTAGTTGGGCTTTTGGTTCATTCCGATAGCAGAGTAGAATTTACCTAGTTGCTTTGACTGCAGGGTGTAGATAAATATCTGTGTCTTTGTGCCATTTAATCACTCAGTTCTTCTTCGTCTCACTTGTCGTTCTCCGCTTGCCCTTTAGGATCATTGATTTCCATTCTAGCATTCACGACTGAGCGCATTTTCGCTACGGCGGAATGTGAAAAATTCCCATGGAAGAATTCAAAATTTATATCGCAGGTGTAAATGTTTGTGTGCGCAAATGACAAACCTCAGGGACAATGTATTTCCTTCTTCCGCATCATTCGTCGTAACCATGTGAACTTTCATTATCTAAAAAGTATGTGCATACCTCACAAGTAGACAACACACTTGATATATTTATTCATTTGTTGGTAAGACCCGTGAATAAGTATCTCTGCATTACACTCTTTGTCGCATTCGCATTTCTGTTCGGCACACTCATGCCGTAACTAAATTCACTTGCAGTTTGCTTTGCCTTTTCGAATTGTGAGAGTTTGCAATTGTTTTTCGTAAATAATATAGTATAGTACTATTGTTAGAACTCCCCACCTATTTAAATGCATTTTTGTTGCTTCTTTCGCAGGCCATATTTGCTGAGTACATATCTTTAAGACACACTCGACTCCTCATCAAACCAATTCCAGTCGCAACTTTTTCTGAAAAAGTCATTTCAACCACTTCATTCCAGCACACAATCATTGTAGTTTCATAAATATGTACAATATAAGTAAGTCCAAGAGGCGGTAAGKGGGCGTTCATTAAATTATGCGACCGTGAATGCTTTGTAATTTTCAACTCTAATCCATTATTCGAAAATGGTTGATATAACACAGTGAATCTACTATTTCGAAATTACTATCTACTTCCAGAAAGGATATCACTTGTTTATGCGTCCGCTTAGGTAACATAGAATAATTTAATTAATTTATAACGGGCAATTTAATTACTTATTAATACTTATTTTCTATCAGTTTATGATATCTTAAACAATTTAATTTTTTTTAGTCGTTGTTAAAAAACGTTGCGGTGGTCGTTTCACAGCAGGCACGAGGAATAGTCTTCCCCTAGGAAGAAATTGTCCAAATAAAAAACAACTTGTCTTCTGCAATACTTGCATRTGCTGAGGGTTACCATTTCAACTATGTTAAAGCAACTTACCGGTTAATTGGCCCGTAAAATGTTTACATTTCATTAATTTCACTTTCTCAGGCTTATCAGTAAACAACAAAACTGCTATGTTTCTGGCATGCCCTTTATAAGTATCCCAAAATTCTTGTTAAAAAAATTAGTTGGAATCGAAGGAAATAAATATTAATTCTGAATCCGTTGATGCTGAAAATGTCACTCATTCCATCACTACTTCCTTTCGTAACTTTAGCGACGCTATTAAAGTTTTATGGAGCGCATGAGTGGAAACAAGCGCACTCCCTTGCACAGCCATACCATATATATTTACATACAGATTTATCTAGTCGTTATTCATACCACACAATATCACTGTAACAACAAAGGCGAATAGCAATGATAGCAGCAATAGCAGAAATGTTAATGAGCCCTGACACTTTGGAAAGAAAAAATGCCACTTTTGCCAATGTTAAAGTGAAAGAGAACTGGCTGCAGTTTGATTTATGGGGAATGAATACATATAAGCGGAATGGAGGTTGCTGCGTGTCAGTATCTGCGCTGATTTCAGAAATCAACGAAGCGTGAAGTATGAGGCTTTAAGGCTTTAAAGAACAACCAAATAGAGCAAAATATGCGACATATCAGATTGCAGGAGAGGATCGGCCGGCTACTGTTTCYTTTCCAAGCTCGCTTGCTAAGCAAACAGTCCTTATGCTCGTAAAAATTGCGTAAGTATGCCTTACCAGTAATTGAGTTCAAAACGAAGTCCACAGCTTAGTTGGTTATTCTGTTATTAAAAACTGCCAGTACTGCTTGAACCTACAGTCAGTCWTTCTTGGAATGTCCAAAATGAGAAATGGTTTGACAATTTAGTTATTTGTGGGAAGACCATAGGCGGCAGTCGCTTAATCATTCGAGAAGCCTATATGTACATACTTTTTTATTCATATGTATATAAGTACATGTAACTACAATAAATGGTCTTGAATGGCTTTTAATTTGGCAACTGTTTAACTCAGGCTTGCCTTAAGCGTTTAAGCAAATTAATCATTAAAATGAAGTTAGGACGACAAAGGAAGGAACTCGATTTATGTTTGTAGAATTTTAATTTTTAGGACAATGTAGAATAACATGCTATTTTGTCTTCGAGAAAAATTGAGTTGAAGTTGGAATAGAGTTCAGTATTCTGAACACGTAAAGTGACCACTGRCATGAACATTGTACAAACCGTTAAACAAATGAGAAGCTAACGGAGTACAGGGACGGGGACAGGGACGTATTCTTAAACTTCTGCCAATAGAATTTGGTTGACTGGTTTGGTGAATTTTCCTTTTAAATATTTCTTTATGACCGTGCTTGAAACAAACATATTAACATCTAAACGCTATACTCATAAACTTTATTACATAATTTGTGTTCCCTGAACATTTTTTGTACAAATCACATAAGCTCCTACTGCAAAAATGCCGTAATATCAATATAGACTGTTATATTCCGTGTCTTCAAATAGTTTGTTCWTGAATCTAGATTATCAAGTAAATGCGTACTCGAAATAGAATAATATAAAATTTATAAAATAACATAAAAAAATATCAATATCTTAAAAACTGAAGGAATAGTTCTCTTATATAATGTCATTTGGCGGGCATAGCTAAATCGACTCAGCTGGTTATGCTTATCGTTTAGATATAYATTTYATAGAGTCTTCGGYATTTTCTTGTGGTTGTTACATATGTACACCGCGGCAAAGATCTCAAGATTGTTTAATGGTGGGGAACACCACTCTTGGCACGGCCTGTTATACAGTAGATAAACATTTCGAAAAGTCATTCAGTCAACCCAAAATAATTTTTCAATATTTGAACGCTCACAAATCTATATAAATATGTATCCAAATAAAGGAATTTAGAAAACACCCTCAGTTACAACCACATACGGCGAACAGACAATATTGATAAACAGCTTGAATTGCCTATTCCCTGCACTTCAGAGTATTCTGTAAACATTCCCAACCTTCTTTCTTCCCTTCTTCTCTTCCCTATTCATACTTATTACAAGTATACCGCCTTAGGCTTAAAACCGC